ATCCGTTACCTCATCAAGCATACTGCCATAAAATTGAGTGATCTACCTACCTTGATTTTTTTTAAAATATATTTTTATTGATTTCAGAGAGGAAGGGAGAGGGAGAGAGAGATAGAAACATCAATGATGAGAGACAATCATTGATTGGTTGCCTCCTGCACACCCCCTACTGGGGAATCGAGTCCACAACTCCAGCATGTGCCCTTGACTGGAATCGAACCCAGGACCCCTGAGTCCGCAGGCCAACACTCTATCCACTGAGCCAAACCGGCTAGGGCCCTTGACTATTTTAATAACTGGATTGTAATAGCCCTATCAAAATAATTGTTCAAGCATTCTTTAAAAAGAAGTCTTACTCCAAACACTAATATAATGAAGGGATAATGTATTCAGAAAGCATGAAATGAGAGGTAAATAAATATTTGGCTTTTTTTTTTAAATCTGGGTAGGTTTATCACAGTTCTATCTAATCCAAGAGTAAAAAAAAAATAATATAAGACTTGGGCATATCAATTTTCAGAAAAATTGGGATCAAGTGATGAATCAGATTACTATATTGCATATAGTTGAGAGAGAGAATATTTTAGATATGTGAACAATGACTATATTTTCTTCTAGTCAAGCAAAACAAAATTATGACCACCCTTTAGAAATAAGGAAACTCCATAAATCTTATCCCAAATGTGACTAACTCTCAGAAAACTCAATAGGACAACAAACTGTAATATATAATAAAATACGGTCTGATATAATGTACTATAATAAAGTCTGAGATATTTACCATTTTATGGTATACTAATAGAAGGTTTAAACAGCATATTAGAAACATCACATTTTATTTTTACAAATAATTTAAACATTTCATTTTAACTATAATGAAATTATCAAGAATAAAAATGACTTTAGCCCCTGGAAGCTAACATGAAATTATATATAAAAGTTCTACCTTTTTCCTAAGTTAATGAATGTAAATATTTGGGAGGACTCCTCCACAAAAGCCTATTGTTTTGTACCAATCCATCTGGCTTTAAATCAGAGCTCCATTATTTAACAAAGGAAATTGTCTTTCCTTTTGGCCCTTTCCCTATAAAATAAACTATTTATCAGGAGTTGCTTTGGCCAGGGGGACATTTATCTCTACAACCACTACCTTCAAGGCAATGATGTTTAATTATAAAGTATTTCACGTTGTAAAAAGTATATATAAGTTTATATTGACTGGCCTTTAAGTGGTCTGGTCTTTATAGAGAACTTTCTTATAATCAAATGAGTTTCTTCTTTTCTCTGCCTGCAACTACTTTGTCTTCATCTCTTCATGTCTTGCTCAAGCTAGTTACTAATACTTGGGTCTTGGTACTCAAAGTATGGTCTGGGGACTGCAGCACCAGCATGCCTGGGAGCTTGTTAGAAAGCAGAATCTCAGGCCCAATTCCAGATTGACTGGATCTGAATCTGCATTTTTAAAAAACTTTTTAAAAATATATTTTATTGATTTTTTTTTACAGAGAGGAAGGGAGAGTGATAGAGAGTTAGAAACATCGATCGGCTGACTCCTGCACGCCTCCTACTGGGGATGTGGCCCCAACCAAGGTACATACCCTTGACCGGAATTGAACCTGGGACCCTTCAGTCCGCAGGCCGACGCCCTATCCACTGAGCCAAATCGGTTAGGGCTGAATCTGCATTTTAACAACATCCCCAGGTTATTTGTATGCACATTAAACTCTGAGAATCAGTGATGTAGGGGAATCTTGAAAAGGCACATTTTCTGAAGGCGTTTTAAAGGCAGAAGTTATGCCAGCAAATACCACTGTCCTCTCTAAGAACCATGAGTGAAGAAAAACGCCCCACAAATACATGCATCAAAGAGCCTTTACAGCACGGGAAGAGCAGTAGAACTGAGGCCTGAACGATTTGCAGGGAATACCAACTCCACAAGAGGAAGTAACATACTATTAAAGAAATATTTGTAAGCAAATTGAAGGCAGCATCCTTTAAGGGGGAACCCTACAGGCTAAGTTGGCCAAGTTGCTTGCAGGGAACTGGCAGTTCTTTTCGTTTCTATAAACTGAAGGCTTCTTGGGATGTGAAATCAAGAATTATGAACTGGGCAGCAGCCATGGTCATTTCTCTGTTCTCTGAAAGGGCCTGAGCTATATTAAACTCTCACACCCTTAAGGTATTGGCCCACAGTAAAAGTTGAGGCTGCAGTGGCCTATTCCTTTTTAAGAAGACAGCGAAGTTCCTTAGGGACTGCTTCAAAGTAGCCAAGCCCATCCTGTGAAGCATTTCATGCTGGGCAGACTTCATTGCAAGATTTTAGGACTGGGGGGGATTTTCGTTTCTATTTCTTCAATTCCTAGAATCATAAAATCTTTCAATGAAACCTTAGTTCATGAATGCCGTATAGAACCTGCTTGCATTTGAACTGTCTCAAATAGATTAATGCTCAACATTCTCAAAGTTCTTCCAGGCATATTTTACAATCTTATTTTGGCCATTTCCCCTTGCTTGAATATATTTCTTATCACACGTTTTGTATGCTTACTCTAATAAAACGATCACTTAAGATAACGCCACCGAGGCTTTCTCTCAGAAAAAAAATAGTTTTCATAAAACTTTCTTGTACAATATTTTTCATGTCTCATGAGGCAGTATAATCACCTTTAGAACAAATAATACTTATAACCCTGGTTCTTTTTAATTATTATAGAATTTTCCTCTTGTCTAAATAAAATGAATATGTCAGTTGAGTGCTCACTTGTTTCTTCCACATGATAAAATGTTTTGTGTTTATTTCTAATGCTTTATGTATGCCCCTTCCCCGACACTCTTTCCACCCCTTCATGACCTCTGCACACAGAGTCCATGAGATTGATTGAGTATGCTACATACCCTTGAGATTTTCACTTTGTTTATACTACATAACTCTAAGTAATGTGTGCTATTCCGGTGACTGCCTCAGCAAAGTCATATCTAACCTGGATGGAAAGGTTGGTTGCATTTTGTGCTTCTTTTTATATATTTCAGTGTCATGGCTTCCCATTTTCAATATTTCTCCCTATTTTGGTATTTACTGCTGTAATTTTGTGAAAAACATGTACATAAAAAATATTTGCCATCGCAGATATTTCCATTTGGTGATTTCTTCATTTTGGCGCATTGCAGTTTATAAAGTTTCAATCAGAGACAATATTGAACTAGATAATTTAAGATAAAGTTCTCAAGATATCAAGATAATATTGTGTGGTGCAATTAGTTTTTCTTTGTCTCATATCAAAATATTGTAAACCTTTACCCTTCAAAGCCACCTAAAATATTAAATTATCGGCACTGCATGAGAGCAGTGAGGAGGAGAAAGGAAAGGGAGAGGAGAAAAGTGGGTGGATCTGTGGTAGCCATTGCCAATGATGGGAAGTATGAAGTCCACGCCCTCTGGACTTTATCATGGTCCAACAGAACCATTATTACAAAGAACAGAGAGCATTACTATTTTAGATGTGAATGAAAAATTATAGAAAAAATGAGTATGGGCATCACAATAATATAGAAAAATGTTTATTAAATTTTTATCACTATAGAAAAGTGTTTGTTAGATTTTAAATGTGTAAAATGGAATAAACTGAAGGCTTCTTGGAATGTGAAGTAAATATTTACAACCTGGGCAGCAGCCAAGGTGTTCTATAACCCCACCCAATACCTTAGTAAAAATTACATATGTCTATATAGACATGTGCATATATAAATTGTTATTGTTTTATATATATACATATATATATGTACATGTGTGTATATATCTATATATATATCTA